ATATATATATATATATATATATATAATCATTTCAAGTAATGAAATGATAATAGCACTGTTTTCAATAGATGCTGTGAGCCATGTTGCATAAAGAAAGCATTTTAATCACACGATGAGACTTTGAGAAGAACAGTGTTTTATTTTTCATCCCATCTCAGAAAAAATAAGCGAATTACAGGAAACTAGAACAGATAAAGAGATAAAGACGCACATGAACCACCAACCTTTATTAGCTTCAAAACAAGTGCTAACGATTAGAAAACAGTCTGAATTACTTTAGGCCTAAATATGAAACACATTTCTGTATATTAATAGAAATAAAGGCACTGAGACGATCAGACATTCCACAAACCTGACAGATAAAAGAGCACAGAAATAACTCCTAAAACGTTAAATATCCTCGTTCTGAAAGCACTGACGCTGTCGGTGCCATAAAACACATGGAAAGCCCCCAAAATCTTCCGTCCCGCCTCAATAAATATAAAATATATCTGCATAAAGAGAGCTGGTCAAACTGCAGCGGGATGCAGGAGAGAGAGACGGCCGTCCAAACGCTTCAACACACTTACACTGATGTCACGCGTGTGAAAAATATATTATCACCGAGTCAATGGCTCTTTACGGCCGTCCAAACGCTTCAACACACTTACACTGATCTCACGCGTGTGAAAAATATATTATCACCGAGTCAATGGCTCTTTAAATACACGTGGAAAATAGAGTAAGAACTTCTGTAATGCTGAAAATAACAATTGAAATATTTTCTGCATCGCATGATATACTCGCTCAAAAACAGACAAAACACCCACAATGCAACACTGAACCTCATTTAGGAGGCAGATCAATGATTAACGCAGTTCCTGATCTCATGATGAGGTTTCTGAGGGAAACCGAAGCAAATAAATCTCTTTGAAAAAACTAAATTCATGTACTAAAATAAATCTCACAAGAGTGAAATATGACCAGCAAGGCGTTGACTTTCACTCAGAACTGGACGGTGTGAGCGTGCTTCTTGCACAAGGGCTTGTCTTTCTTGGAGAAGAAGGTCTGACCCTCCAGACTCGTGCTGCAAACCTACAGGACCAGAGAGAGACACCAGAACATAATCAAAATCACATCTTATAAAACGGATAGTTCCGGTGCTTGATTCTGATTGGCTGAGCCACATTCGAAGCTGTTGTAAATTACTCTACAAACATACACCTTTGTTTACGTTTGTGTGTTGCTCGGCAACCACTTTGTAGCAACCACAACTGTTTCTGAGGAACTACATTGTTTGGTGGAAGAATACTGTTTTTATTAATATCATTACACTTTATTTGCTCTGTTTTATTTTGTGAAACCTTACTGCGTATATGCAATAACCGTTTTATAAAAGCAATAAGCCCCAAGAAGCCGTAGTTTACAGTGAATTTATAACAGCTAAGGGGCTTTGTTACGACGCAAAGCGGAGTGCCTAAAACCCCCTTAGCTGTTATAAATTCACTGTAAACCACGGCTTCACGGGGCTTATTGCTTTTACATTGTTTGGTGGAAGAATACTGTTTTTATTAATATCATTACACTTTATTTGCTCTGTTTTATTTTGTGAAACCTTACTGCGTATATGCAATAACCGTTTTATAAAAGCAATAAGCCCCAAGAAGCCGTAGTTTACAGTGAATTTATAACAGCTAACGCCAAGCTGTTATAAATTCACTGTAAACCACGGCTTCTTGCTTTATTAACCCTCGTTTACACGCCACAGCTAGACAAAACAAACATTAAAATGAGCAAAAACAGCAAAAGATATCATATTTCTTATTTTATTTGAATGCTTTTCATGTCATTTTTATTAAAAAATTAGGCTTCCCAGGGTCTTGGAAAACATGGATATATTTGTGATTTCTTCACCTGGAAAAGTCATGGAAAAATCAATAAGTTTGTGAAAGTCATGAGAATTTCTATAATTAATTTCTATTATTTTTTTTCTAGATATCTCAAAATGTATACATTTTATTGGGTAGAAATGGCTATTTATGAGTAAAAAATAAGTGGGTAAATAAAGTAAATAAATGAATTGAATAAATAAAGTGAATACGTAAACAAAGTAAAATAAGTAAATATATATATATATATATAAAGTTAGTAAATAAAGCAAATAAGTAAATAAATTAAACAAACAAATAAATAAGTAAATAAAGCAAACAAGTAAATAATGAAAATGTAATGAGAAGCAATTAAATAGTTATGAAAATAAAGTAAATAAGTGAAATGAATAAATACCAAGTAAATAAAGTAAGCAAAGTAAATAATATAATACATAAAGTAAATAAATAAATAAATATATATATATATAAAGTTAGTATAGTAAATACATAAAGTAAATTTTAAAAAATCAAGTAAACCAATCAAATCAATAACCTTATCCTGTAATTACAAACTACTGGAAAAATCATAAATTCACTGGTTATTAAGTGTGTGAACATTTAGTTCTTGAAACTTCTGGAATGATTTTATTGAACTATTTTCATATATTTCCACTCCTATTTTCTTTACATGCACAAAGCTTCATCATTACATCAGTAGTCGCAGTATTATCATTCAGATACTGTCCTGGATCATGTGAGACCCACTGGGAAACGTCAATCTGATTCACAAAATAATGTTTTTAAAATCAAATCAAGGCTTGACGTTGTGTTATATTGTGAATATAATCACTCTGACGCCACTGTATTCACTATAACACACCCAAGCGCCTCGTTGCTCTGAAATACTGTGTAAAGCCGAGCGTTCCCGTACCGTACAGACGAAGCAGGTGTCGTGCCAGGTGAACCCCAGCGCCTCCAGGAACTTATCGCCCGCTTCGATGGGGAAGTCACATCCGTGACAGCTGGTGCCGAACAGGGTGTAGTAATCTAACACACGCAGAAAACACACCAAATCAATCACAGCGCTCGGATTCAGGAATATTCACTGACAGATTAAGTAAAACGGAAAAGTGCTTGATTTTGAATTTCCTTAACCTCGCCGGCGCCACCACTTGCAGATTTTAATGATAACAGCGAAAAGAACTTAAAGTGCTCCATCATACTTGATCGTACATATAAGAGTGATACTGTAAAGGGTCTACATTTATTTGTGTTCACTCACGATATCAACAAAACATTGTGCTTTTGTAAAATAAAGAAAATAAACGGGGTGTGCTTTTAGCCGTCTCATTCTCCGCACATCAGTAAAATGAACTGAAACTCAGCGAATATTTGACACACACACATGAGAGATATATCTATAGAAAGCTTGACATGTCTACTTTTAAACTAAGTCATGTCAAAAACAAATATTATGTGACAAAGTAATCAGTATGAAACCAACGGGGTCCGAGGGTTAATACTAGCAGCACTAGTCAGACTAGTCTTTAGTCAGCACTAATAATACAGTACGTATTGATCTGTAAATAAGCACACTTTTTATTACCAAAACGTATTGTACACTATCAAAACACTAAACTGCAATATACTGAAACATAATTCAAGTATGCAAACAAGTGAAATTGTGCACCACATAGTATTTTGAATGAGGAAAACTTAATTAGGGTAAATATGTGATGAAAAAATAGTATAAAAACACAATGGGCCTCATTCCCAATTTGTGTGTAAATCGTTCGTAAAGCTGTTCTGACGTAAATTTTCGGATTCATGAAAGTGTTTGTATTTTCAAAATGTTAGTTGGTATGAAAGAAATTTACACCTGCTCCCTACCGTGTGTAAATGGTGCGTAAAACGTTCTGGGTTCTTTTGGGCAAACTGATGACACTGAATTTTGATGCACTAACATCGTAATATTTTACAAGTTCGTTTGCTCTGTTTTTGTTTTGTAGCTGGGAGTTGATAAACTGTTTAGCTTTGGGTATAACGCAGCGCTTGTCACTGTTACTTTTTACCCAGCCGTCCAATCTATGGAGGAGGGGCGGGACAAATACGAGGCTACACCGACCAATCATCCTACTTGTACAACAACTGAACAACAATAGAGAAGTTAACATTGCTGGTTACTGCATTTTTATATTCAGTAATATTCTTCAAAATGAGATACTAGTAATGCGTTACTGCCGTGGATATTCCAAATTATAGCAATCAAAGCGTCTCAGCTTGAAAAACGCTGTGCCACCAATGCGTCCTGCAGTGCCACCAGCTGGTCGTTTTCAGAAGAGTGCCTGACAGTTTTCAGATGGCTAAAAACGCTTTGGTGGACACACGTTATTGAATATTTATGGTTAGGCATATGGCCTATTAGTCTTTTTTGGATTTATGCAGTATACTGGAGCCAAACCTGAGAAAATAGACCAGAATATTCCACTGCGTTCCTGGACACGTAATTTGCGTAGCTGTAATTCATAGGCGGGGATTATGGTAATTGTGAATGAGCGTATGATTATTTACGAATGATTGGAATTCATTAACATATGCATGTTTAACTATCAAATCGGAAGTTTATGAAGCATTTGTGAATCCGGAGGAGAGTTTTCGGGAAGGTCCGTTTTACGTGCAAATTACTCAATTTACTCCTATTTACTAATGTTTCATGAATGAGGCCCAATGAGTTGTTGAATCAAGAACAGCTGCAACTGGATCAGTCTGATTCACGAATGATTCATTTAGTGTGATTTGTGGAATGATTCAACAGGAAAGAATCAGCTCGTTCATGAATCAGACATCGATTCGGATGGTGATTTCTTCAGTTTGAAATAACAAGGAGTGTTATGTTTCTATGAAATGCAATATTAAAATATTTACTTGAAATATCTCTGAGGAAGTTAATATTTCAATAATTTAACAGTTCTCTGATGTCGGTTAATGGTCACACTGACATGCAGGTAAACAAATAAAATATTTATATTTTTAGTGTTCAAGTGTTTACATTAGTTTTACTGTACATTTTTATGATTTAATTATTAGCTTTTTATCAACTCACAAACCCACTGCAGCTCCTTCATTAAGCCCAGTTTGGGAAGCCCTGCTGTAATGTAATGTTTAATGCAATTTATGATGTTGATATAAAAAAAGGAATATATTTTTCTTTCTTTTTTTTTTATACCAATAAGGTACGTTTAATTATAACTTTAAAACAAGTTATTAAAAGTAATCGAAACTAAAAGTAATCTAAAAGTAGTCGGATTACATTACCTAAAACGAGTAACCTAGATTACGTTACTAACTACAGTTTTCATCATGTAATCTGTAATCAGTAACAGACTACAGTTTGTAAGTCATCTACCCCGCATATAAAGTACAAAAGTATAACATTATGCTTCGGAATGTAATGCGGTAAAAGTTTCCTAAAATAGAAAATATTTTCATTAATTCAATAACATGGTAATGTCATATTATTATTAAAATTTATATAAAAAAATCGAGCATTATCTGGCACAAAATTTATGACAAACTATGTTAACAATCTAACATCAAACTCAAACGCTTGTTAATTATAAATATATGATAAATCTATATATAAAAGACAGTAAAGTGTTTCTGGTTGTCGTGTAAGCGGTGAGTGTTTGATTGACAGGCAGTGGGCGGGCTTTCTCACCGGTCTCGCAGTACGGCTGCCCGTCCTCCAGGTGGAAGGTGTTGTTGCGGATGGGCTGCTGGCAGCCGGTGCACAGGAAGCAGTACACATGCCAGGTTTGCTTCAGGGCGTTGATGACTTCCTGTTAGCAGATGAGAAGCGTCGATTAGCAGCGGCTCTGAGCGCAGCCCGCTTTCCTCACGCATACCACTGTTACATCTACAGCAGCAGCTTCTGTTCCAGCCCAACCAGTCAGACCGAAAAGATTGTTAATATTTCAATATTTCAGCAACTCATTTACATTTACGGTTTTCAGATGTCAATTAATGGTCACATGACATGCAGCTAGACAAATAATATTTCATCATTTTAGTAAGCGTTTTATTTAGATTTTATTTTTTAAATTATATATGTATATTTGAAAATAATATATGTATGAGAAAAGAAAAATGCCTGGATAGAGAGAGAGAGACATTTTTTTTTTAATTTATAATATTAAGTATATATATATATATAT